ACCATAAATATTTACTCAACTACTTATTGCTTACATTTATATTAACAGCACAAACATATTTGGTCATCCCTGATGAAACCTGGCAATCTCATTCATGTGTTCTCTGCGTTCCCACAAATATTCTGCCTGCTCTTCTCTTCCCAGCACAATCTATTAATACCTATGCTAAGGTGTTCAGGAATGACAACATATGTCATTCATCAACGTGAAATTCCTCCATGTGTGTTTCTGCACACTAGAGAATTATGCAGGGCCTTTCTTCCAGCCAACAAAAAGCTTCTAGCAAAAGGCACACCTTTTTTTTTAACCCCGATGACAGCATGAACTACTTCCTAATGTGCCTAAGATCTGGTTTGCATTAAAGCCTTAAAAGCTTCCAAAGCTCCTCTAAAACAGTGCACCAAAGAACAATGCCAGCCCCACGAATGAAAGACCTACACCATCTTAACCGGAATCTCTGGCTTTGGCCATCTGCTACAGTAAATGTGCAATTTAAAATTATTTTCACAACATCCACATGTTGGGAAAACTAAACCATGAAACTGCTCGACTTCAAATCCCTCACTGCCATTTTCAGAGTATACAGCACTTCATACAACAGCCTTCCACTGACTTCAGCTGCAGCTCAAAGGGCCAAGTACAATTGCAAATCAGACCCCAGATCTAAATGAGGTTTCAAGAACTCAAGGAACACACAGTTCAAGTTGAGCTGTTAAAAAACAGATTTAAGAGATCACAATCACATATAGACTCTGAAGCAAAGAATGAAAAGAAATCCCAAAAGCAAAAAAACCTCCTTCAGCCTAACAGAAATTAACAACAATTAACATCTGGTAAAGTTATCAGGAATAAGAAATATGATCTTATCACAGGAAGCACCATGCAACCTCAATGACAGTGCTGCCAATAATTTTAAATGTACGAAAGTCATAAGTGATTAGCCACGTGCAAGTCACTAGCCAAGTGCTCTAGTACTGCCATATTAAACTTGAGTTAGCTGTCCATGCTGCAAGGAAGAGGAGAAAGAAACTAGCAACTCTGAGAAAAAAAAAGAATACAAATGCTACCTCAATAAATACTAGGGCCCCACAAAGAGTTTTGGGTATTCATAATAAAAAAATGCCTGGAAATTCAAGCCAGGTGTGCAGAAAAAGGTACTAGATTTATTGAGACTGATGTAAGTGAGAAAAAGTATGATACACATTTTGGAAACAGAAGCCTTTATTTGAGGCAATAAAATCACTCAGTCTGGAAGAAGTTTGTTCTTGAAACCTCATTTTCCTTCAACGATTTCTTTTAAAAGCAACAGAATCACAGTTAGAAAGGAAAGCTTTGCACACTGGCCTTTCAAGTGCGTAACTACAGGGGAACGACTTACAGGAATAACAGCATAAACCGTATCTTTTGCAGAAAAATACTGATTCCAAATCTGCAGGGAACAAAGGAGATAAGATACAGTTAAACCCAAGCATCTAGCAGTCATATAAAATGCTTTAAAAATAATTCCATTTGTCAACTAGCCTTTATAAACACTTTGAGAGGTCATTTTTCAATCAAGCCTGACTTGCCTGCTAATGAGATACACTTCTCCTAAGGTTCCAGAGTACTTGTACCAAAAAACAGATTTCAACTAAGTAGCAGAAATGAGCAGTGGGCTCAGAGGTAGCTCAAGATTTACCAGCCATCAGAAGGGCTTCTTACATATTTTCCCAACAATCACACTAATGATTTCTAGAGGGACTGAGGTTGGTTTTTTGTTTTTTTTTTTTAGTAAAGAACATATGAAACACTTTCAACAGAAGACAAGACTTTGCATAATAATCCTCTGTGTTCACAATCTTTTTCTTCACCACAGCAGGATGGGAATACCTACACAAAAAGTTCATAGCCTTTAATAAATGGACATGTACAGGTAAAAGCCCAGAATTCAGGACTTCTTCAGTTGTTCTTCCCTAGACCTACATAACTAATGAGAATTGTCAGTAAAACGTTTAATGAATGAAACTGGAAGAGAGGAACCTGAAGGAAACTCATGAGTTATCAAACCCACTCCCTGCTACAACTGGTTGCACACCGTCCCCTGCAGAGCACATAACCACTTCTATAATGTTCTCACACTATCAGGAAAGCAGCTAGATTTCTGCTTTCTAGTCATGCCAGAAGGCTCCTTCATATACGCTGTGCTGCTCCCCTTAAATGATCATGTCTACTATAGCTTCTTGGCATAGAGTCTGGTAATGGAAAAAATACCAGATCCAACTTAAGCTACATCAGAAACGTACAAAAGATGTGACTTATAACTAGACAAAAGGAAACACAGTGCAAAGCCAAGCAGATATTAGGGAGAATAATTTGATTCACACCGTTCCTCAAACAGTCCCACCCACCTCCTTCATACCCTAGGACCAATTTTAGTGCAAGTACACAGGCTCCCGAATGACAGATAGTGCAAAGGTACAAGGTGGCAAAAGCTCTGTTTTTATTCCTGCAAAAGAGATGTAACATAATCCATATGAGCTATTGCTGGGATTTCCCTTTACCTGGCTTCAACCCTGAGAGGAGTTTGCTAACGTCAATTCAACTGCCACACATGAAATGGCAGCAGTAAGAACTACAGTAGAGATAGTTTTTGAGTGATCAAGTCCAGACGTATTATTTATCAAGTGGGTACATCCTAGTTGGACTGAACTATAGGGAGAAAACTGTATCTTCTACTATTAATATGCATGTCAATGTGCTTTTTATAAATCTACATCCATAGGCATGTTTTATTTTTCAGTATAAGTAAAATCTCCATCCTCACATGTAGATAACTAATGAACACAGATGAAGAACAAACTTTATTCCCTTTAAATCCATCACCTGTTTTATCTCCTCTGCTGATTTTTCTTTCACCATCTCAACATTAAGAATCGAATCAAGCGTCTGGAAGAGAAAGCATAAGGAATTTAGCATGACAGTTCTGATTCAAGTGAGAATCCAGAATGAATGGACCCAATTACAGATAACAAAATCAAGCTAGAAGAACTTAACTCAAATTACAGTGGGACTAATCCTCTTAATTGCCAAAGAAACTAGTAAACCATAAGCGGTAACACACTGAGAAGTAGATTCACACGCTGAAGCAGAATAGAAGAGATTCTGTCAGGACACACTTTGCTCCAGTTGTGCAGATCTCTACTGAAGCTGCAAGAGGAGCTGTAGCCTTTCGCCTTCAGCCATCTCAGACGCATGCTCTGCTGGCAGATTTACACAGAAAATTTGCCAAAATAAAAAATGTGAAAGAGGGTAAAACCATTCTCTTGTCCCTCTGCTGGCTAAACTTTGGAAATATATGTTGTGAAGGCAGCTCAACCCTTTCTATTTATTACTGTAGGCATTCAGTACAGATCCCCTAACTAGTAGGAATTTAAGGGTATCAGAGAGAAAGAACAGGATTATAAAAACCCAGAGTGCCAGGAGTTTTAAGGTTGAACATGATCTCAATAGTAAATTAAAACCTTATACTTGAGTGCAGCATAAGGAACATCAGTTTTATGTCAAGAACCTCCCGGCTGAAGCACTGATGGTAGCAACACAAGTTAATCTATATCCTTGATTTGCCAGCACATCATCTCCTAACACTGAGGTTCATTTCCCTTACCTTATCCTTTGTGAATCCTCCCTTTGATGTCTTTGTGCCCAAGCCTTCTGCCTAGAAGAAAACATTCTTTAGTTTTTATAGCTGATGCTTTAATACCATTTATTTGCCTTCCCTGCCATGCATAACATGGCTGCTGACAGAAGTATCCTGACTAGGAGCTCAGGTTTAGGATACTTATAGATCACTGCAGTGTATTTTTAATAATACAAATGATTGATTAGCAGAAGTAAATCAAATGAGTAACTTAATATGAATTATGAATTTCAAGGCCAGAAAGGATTAATTAAAAGCAAACTATTAGGCATTTTGGATCCAATATTACTGAACAGTTTTCTTGCATTCACTAAAAAAATGATAAATGCAAGATCACGTCACTCCATCTGGCCAAACCAATCTGGAACCAGTTAAACACTTAAGGCAGCAAAGACACGGAATTTAGTCAAAAAATTGCAAACTACTACACCGGAATACAGAAAAATACTTTTAGCCAGAGAGTGAAATTTTGGGGCTCCCCAGAGTATCTGCATGCTGTATGTTTGCAGCATTATGCTGATCCTTTATAAATGACACTATAGTTTTGATATATGTGAATGACAAAGAAAATTTGCCTTGCCTTTTCCTCCATGCATCTGATAAATTCTCCTTGATTGGAATATCCCACAGGCTGCTTTTTCACTTCATTTCTTTTTTCCATACGGGATTCAAACACATCTGGACTGGATCTGAATCAGAGAAGGGACTATTAACAGTACTCGGTGATTAACATCATTTGCCTTTTCGGAGAGTTCACTGTGGTACTGGTTAATGTGCTTTAACTTCTTGTTTGTAAAACTATCTCTTATCAAGCTGATTATGTTGGGAGACGACCCCCCTCGTTGACTTGGTGGCAACTACACGCGGATTTCAGGGCAGCATTTGGCCTAAACGAATCAATCTTCTGCTGAGGGTGTAAAGCTAACACCGACCTCCCCTCCCCTCAGAAAAACCCAGTTCCCGCAGCACCCCTCGTCCCAGAGAGCAGCGCCCCCCCCCGCCGCCCCCTTCCAGCCCTTCCCCTCAGGGCCCGGCCGCAGCCCCGCACCTCCGCAGCTGCTGGATCTTGTGCCGGTACTTGCCGTAGAAGGGGTTCTCCTCCAGCGGCTCCCCCCCCGGCCCCGGCCC